GGTTTAACGTGTCCAAGTCGTATGACATCTTGGTGACTAAATGTATGTCGACGCCTATATTTAGACCCAAGCCGCAGAAGCTTCATTGGATTTCTCTGAAAACTTGGTTGGTTGTACCAATGTGACACCGCTTTTCTCTGAGCTCTTCCCCATCCTGACGTTTCTCCACTTAACTCCTCTGCATACTTAATAAATTGGAAAAGGTGAGTTGGCAAGCGACAAACCTCTATAAGACTCCGATATGCTGCGATCTTCGTTAGTTTGTCATCACATCTAGCACATAGAGCTAAAGCATAAAGAATTGGTCCTTGCTTTGGGGCCCGACCTTCAATACTTATCTGTTTAATAAGATCAACAACCTCTCTTCCTTTACCTTCCTGAATCAACCTGAAACAGTAAATGAGTATTTTAAATGTTAGCGAAATATGTGACAGTCAGAAGGGAAACAATCTCATCCTATCCGTTCGCATTATTCTGTGTACGAGCCGAACAGTCTTCTGTTTTTTTTCTCCAAGTGGGAAAACTGGAGAGTCGAGAATGATAGATAAGTAACTCTTCAATAAATAAGATGAAAAGAGTAGCCTGTTTACTTAGTTAACATGAGAAAAATACATTAGAAGATTGTTACATCGATATTTCAAATAAATTATTATTTCTTGTAATATATATAAAAATCAGTAGAAGGTTATAAACATAAAGAATAGCTCGTGACACACAGCATTCTTCAGAGTGTTGATGATGGTGACACACAGCATTCTTCAAGAGTGTTGATGATGGTGACACACAGCATTCTTCAAGAGTGTTGATGATGGTGACACACAGCATTCTTCAAGAGTGTTGATGATGGTGACACACAGCATTCTTCAAGAGTGTTGATGATGGTGACACACAGCATTCTTCAAGAGTGTTGATGATGGTGACACACAGCATTCTTCAAGAGTGTTGATGATGGTGACACACAGCATTCTTCAAGAGTGTTGATGATGGTGACACACAGCATTCTTCAGAGTGTTGATGATGGTGACACACAGCAATCTTCAAGAGTGTTGATGATGGTGACACACAGCAATCTTCAAGAGTGTTGATGATAGTATGAAGAAAAATAAATATATATACGTTTTCCCTGAAATCTAACATTTTCAACACCTCTATCTAGATTTGTTTTACTACAGTCGACTCATTTTCACGGGAACTTTCAATATACAACAAGTTTACTGACAAATGTTGGATGTGAGAGAAAGGTCTTATTACTGCTCTAGTAAAAACTTGGCATAATCAATGATCCACGAAAGTGAAGTCAAGATCGGATGTACACCATATTACTATGATTCTATACAAAAACAAGTAACCACAAAAACTTTACACTGATCGATGAACCATGTAACCTGTCAAGGTCAGATGAACAGATATGTGCACCTTAACAATTGTTTTATATAAACCACAAACCACCTTTTGCAGCATCCCAGAAACTGATCATATCATCTTAACTTAACGTTGACAGATGAACCATAAAAATGAGACCAACATTAAACTTAGATTACCCCAACTTCCATCACCTAATACACCTATAATAGTTTTGAATAAAATGCTTCGCCGAGCGCAGCCTGATACGACCGCAGAGGTCGAACCCTGAACAGTTGGGGCAAGTTTGGACACAATATTCAAGCTTGATACTGTCTGAATTTGGATTGTGATCAAATTGTTGACATACAATAGGTTTCTGACACATAATAAATGTGGTTAAAGATCTTAAAAATTTAAAATAGGACATTTAATTTACCTAGTATGGTCTGATATCCAAAATCTAACAACATGGTAACATTCAGCATTTAAAAAAAATCCAAAAATGTTATTTTAGTTGAAATCAAACAAAGTTTAATTTTGGACCCTTCAAACCTTAATATGGACTAATTGGAAAACAAGGTAAAAAATCAAAAATCTAAATGCACAACAAGATTCAGCATATAATAGAGCCGCAAAAATTCAGTTTTTTATGAAATCAAACAATTTGAAAGTTTAATTTTGGACCCTTTTGACCTCAATGTAGACCAATTTAAAAATGGGTCCCAATATCCAAAATAGTAATACAAGGTTAGAACCCTCAAAAATTAAAGACTTTAAATTAATCCCATTGGAATTGGTTAAAAGATTTGTATTTATTTTCAATTGAAGATTTCTTGTTATTGCGCAATACTGTGCTGTTGCACAATGCTTAGTTGATCTGTTATATATAACAACTTACACACCCTGTTTGGTGTGTATCTCCTGCCATATCAGTATTTCTTGCTTTTATATATAAATCATATATTATCAATGGAAAATTTTTGGGAAAAAAAACCCCAAAAGTTATGAAAAAAAATATACCCCCAAAAAATGTGTCCCAAGAGAAAAATGTTTGAAAAAATATTTTTGAAAAGTTTTGAAGAAAAAAAGTATGAACCCCCTCCAAAAAGAATTGGCAAAAAATTTGAAATTTATAAAATTTTGAAGAAAAAAATATGAACCCGCCAAAAATTTTGAAAAAATGTCCCCTAAACTTTTTGAAATTTTGAAGATTATTTTTATTTCAGGAAATATGTACAATTTCAGAGAGTTCCATAAACTTTAAAACAAGTTATTGTCTGGAAACTAGAAAAATGCTTGTTTTTGGCTCCTTTTTTGCCCCTAATTTCTAAACGTTTGGGGCAATTACCCCCAAACTTAATCCCAGCCTTCCCTTTGTGGTATGGAACCTTGTAGTACAATTTCAGAAAGATCCATACACTCAAACACAAGTTATTTTCTAGAAACTAGAAAAATGCTTGTTTTTAGTCCCTAATTCCTGAACGTTTGGGGCAATTACCCCCAAACTCAATCCCAGCCTTCCCTTTGTGATATGGAACCTTGTGGTACAATTTCAGAGAGATCCACACACTTACACACAAGTTATTGTCCGGAAACTACAAAAATGCTTGTTTTTGGTGCCTAATTCCTAAACCAATGGTAACATAACCCCCAAAATCATTCCCAACCTTCCTTTTATGGTATTGAACCTTCTGGTAAAATTTCATAGAGATTCATTCTCTTAAACTAAAGTTATTGTCCGGAAACCAAATGTGTCTTCAGACGACGACGACGACGACGACGACGCCGACACCGACACCACCGCAGCCGCCGACGACGACGGCATGTTAGCATTATACGAACGCAAATCTTTTGCGGTCGTATAAAAATGTAAAAAAATCAAAATTTAGCTCTGAGTAGTATATGTTGATTTAGGAAAAGCTAATGTAAATGACTTTTTTTTTATAATTTTTTTTTTAGTGCGTAAGAAGCGCTGCTTTTCTGTTTTCATCTCCTTTGGGTAAGCCCAAACCTGATCATTTGAAACCACTGATAACAAGAATGTAAACAATTTGAGAGCTATATGACCAAGGGAGACGGAAAAAGAGTAGCCAACTGCATTTAATGGCAAATTCGCCCGTAGTAGTGTCACGAGATTCCGTGAAGATTTTACAACGGTTATATGGGTTTTAAAAACAAATCTAAATCCTATACTTTATATAAATGTTGACGCCGACGACGTCGGAATAAATGATTGCTATGTATCGCCTTCTCCGTTTTCGTCACACTGAGGAGGGACATAAAGTTCTGTAACTATTCTGACCGCTTGTTGATTGTCTATAGGCCCAAATCGTGATTTTGAAATATTTTGAATAAAACAAAATTGGGGGACTTTTGTTAAATTTTGGCAACAAAATATGAAATATATGCAAACATGCTGTCATTATATGCTTAATACCATTCCTTCGTCAGCAGAATTTGTTGTTGAATTGAAGACCGTATATACAGTCTGTATCTAAATATATTTGCTCAATATTAAACCAGGTGGTGCTTTGTGCTAAACGACATCTGCAGTAATTCAATCTTAGCGCATATTAATTCTAAATTTCTTATCCTCGAGTCATATTCATACATTATGAAGCTTGAAAATCTACATATGTCTATATACCAGCGGTTCACCACTACCCCTCTTTACATATAGTAGGTGTCCCCCTTCCTTGCCAGAGGCCTTGATAAAACATGTGTGCAAAAACAACATATTAATACACTCTCAAAATAAAGCAGCATTTATGAATGAGTGTAATAGAGATAAAAATAAACTAGTTTACCTGTTTATACTCGAGGTGTGTTTGTCGATTTGATTATTTCCATGTGTAGCGAAATAAGCACCGTCTTCTCTTCCAAAAAAAAGAAACCTAGTAACAAGTTCTGTGTCTGTAACTGTGAAAATAGCCATCAGTCTGCCTTCGTTGCTGATTTGTAAAAGATACTAACAGCATGGCTAATTGCAATCTAAAGATAGTTGTGGAAATTCTCGTTTCTATTTATATGTATTCAGTGCAGGACTAATAAAACCAAAATGAATTAGGGGAATTCCAATTTTTTGTTTCAATGTTTTCCTACGAAAACAATGTTTTATCCGTTACTTTTTGGGTATAATTTTTTACCATTAAAAATGTGGAATTTTGTTACATATATTAAGTTTAAGCACTCATGCACGAATTGATTAAAGGTTGATATGATATTAGCAAGAAATACGGATAAGAAATTTATTTTGTAAATGTTAGGGTTATATTTTAGTTATTCTGTGAAAGCTAGCTTACGTTTGTGATATGATAGATTTTTACTTTGTATTTCGAATTCGTTGTTCGTGTACGAGCAGCAAACAAAACTAACTGAGCAAAAAGACCTGACTTTAATTAGATAAGTCATATAGCAAATAACCTAATAAAATCGTTAAACAAGCAACAATCAATCAATCGCTTATCTTATTGGAATTTCTTGTGTATTTTTTGTATTTTTTTCTACAAGATCGTATTGTTTCACTTAATTGCTCTCCAAAAATAATTCGGTTTGCTGATTACTCATCTTAGAAATATTCTTAGTTCCATAAGAAATTATTTACGTACCATGGTAAGTTATGGCTCAATAATCTGCCAGAGAGAAAACAAAGAATGTTCAAAGAAGTGGCATTAACCCTTTATTAAATTTAATTAAATAATTTATAATTCCTTTATACTTCTGAGGTAGTTGAGTCAGCAATTTATCTACACAATCCCCTGTCATCTTATGAATTCTGTGATGACTTTCATTGCCTTGGTATCGAACCCCACAACATTTAGCATGTGAATATCATTAGGGTCTGTTATAGTATTGTTATTACTGGTCATGGCAACCACTACAAGACGTGTACTGGGAAGTCCTAGGCGACTCCGATACTGTGTCATCGCTTCCTTCGCGTTATTTCCGCCATTCGAAGTACACGCAGTGAAGTAAACAATTGCATCGTACTGCTTTGAATTTGACATCGCCCATGTAATTGGGTTAGACGCGTCATCACTTAAACAAGCGCATTCTGATGTCGAAAATTTAAATGACGCTGTTTCAAGGTTATCGTTAGGAAGGACGTCAACCGGTGAAACGCTATCAGAAACGAGGACAAATTCCGTCCAACTCTCGACCTTTGACATCAGTAGTGCAACTGAAACGGCTGCGCTTCGCGCAGATACTTCTTGAAGATCAACTACTGGGTTCATCATTTCTTCGCTACCGTCAATAGCTATAAGAACTTTCTTGCCCGTGGCAACACAAGAAGAAAACGATTTATAAAATGCAGTCTCCAGGGCATCAGCAACTGTTTCATTCACATTCCACTGCATTGGACTCTCATTCCGGATTGATCTTCCCAGTTTGTATGAATTCCAAGCAGTCAAAATCGTCAAAGGGTGAATCCTTGCGGAACGCAATTTTTCTTCATCTAGTAGATTGTCTAGTATATGTTGCTCCTCGGGCGAATCAGGATGTAGCAATGCGTGTTTCGAAATTCTGCCTAAATTACGTATAAGGGCATGCATTGGCATTTCGTACATTAACGCTCTCCAAACATCCGGGAAATTCAATAGATTTGTAGGAATGTGTTCACGGGTAAGTTTGTATCTTTTTATCAACGGTACCAAATGACGTATATCATTGTTTGAACATTTCTTGGCTTGCTCAACGGCATAAATATATTGCTTTGCATCCATTATCATGCCATCGGAATCATCAGAATTCACACTGTTGCTCATTCCTTTCACTATATATTGAATAACAAATTTAATGTGATGTGTTGTTGGTTTCACATGCGCAAGACGGATTAAATCCCTATGTGTATATCCATGTCTTTTTTTGTATTTGGTACCCAGTCTTAACAGTTTTTTCGGATTATTTCGGAATGCGGCTTGATTGTACCACTCAGAAACAGCTTTCCTCTGTGCTCTTCCCCAACCTCGCGAACCTTCTCTTTGTGTAGACGTAAATTTTATAAACTGAAATAGATGTGTTGGTGTACGACAAATATCGTCTAAACATCGTAGTGCTGCGTCTTTTGTTGGTCGGTCATTACAACGTGCACAAACTGCCAAAGCATACAGAAGCTGGCACTGTTTTGGTGCACGGCCATCTATGCTTACTTCTTTTATCAAGTCTACAACTTCTCTTCCTTCTCCTTTAGAAATCATCCTAAAATTAAATACAATAACATATAAATATGTTTATTTAGACATGAAGAGGAAAACAATTGTCATAGTTAATGTTATTAATGAAATTACAAGTTGTAATGATCTTGTAATTTAATTCCATTTTGCCCGAAAAATGTTACCCGTTAGAACATTGCAGACTAAAACTGAAAACGGGCAGGATTCAATTCTTAATATTCCAAACTGTTTTTATTTTGAACTGAAACATAGTTACTTCATAAATATGTGACCATTGCCTTTATATAAGACTAAATAATCCCATGGACATCACACGTGTCTTTTACTTACTGTTCTCAAAATACAACAATTAAACATTAAAATAAACAAATTCCCGTAGGGATCTATAGTTAACCCTGTCCTTTCTTTGTTTTTGGTCTCTCCGGCTTAGAATAACCATAAATAGACCTCAGGCACAAACAAAACCCTGATTGCACCGCTAGACATATTAGTCGATCTTATATAGGATATCATATAGTGAAGAATCCTTGACATGTGCGAGTAAGCGGAATTATTATAATATTAATATTAATAATTACCATTATATAAAAAGAATAAGAACTGACCAAAAACAAGAAGTCTCCAAACATTATGTGGGAGACTTAAGAATAAGAACAACTGAACAAAAACAATTAGTCTCCACACCGTTCGGGAGATACCTTTACATCGATTTATGCTTTTGAAATTGTCCCTATTATTTCGTCATAGATCCTATTTTTATATATAGAGCTGGCACTTTGATAGAATTGTGTGGCTATAAATAAACTTATAAAATTGATTCTAAAATAACTTTATCTTGATAATACGATAAATATATGTTAATGTTTCATACGTTTGAACGTTGTTTTCAATTTAGACTTGTATATATATATATATATATATAGTTTTACAAAATCTGTATATATAAATCGATCAAAAATTACAAAATACCTGTCGATAATCCTGGAATGTTGGGAGAAATCTCTCACAACGTTAGACTGTCTCTCGTTGACAAAATATCTTCCGTCATCTCTTCCGTAAACTAAAAATCTTTGAAGACGTTGACTGTCTGAAATTTCATTATTCTGACAGGCCATATTGCATGTCTTGTCCAGAAATAATTGAAATCGATCGCGAGGCTGTGCTAATATTAGAATCTGGAAATTTAAAAAGAAAAAGGGATAGTAGAATGACAACAGTCCCGGGACAGTTTATTCAAGTGCATTGTTTGTTCAATTGTAAACTTTATAGAGAATATAAACCTTGATATTTCCAGTCAACTCTCGTTAATGCTCTTTTGCATTGATGTCTTAATATTAAATCATTATTTTTTTCATTGTGTATATATTTGTATTGTTCATATGCCTTAATTTAACCCCTTGCGATATAAATCTCCATTAAACAAAACAAAAAATTAATTTTTTTTTTACCGTAAACATTTGGCAAAAGCTGCATTTTATTAAGATTTCACAATTTTTACTCACAATTTTCAGAGTTACGCTTAACAGTAATGTATAATATGCTTTTGTTTTATTAGGGTTTTTGAAAAACAACATAACTAATATGAAAAATAGTGGATGTTAGATATACGTAAATGTCACAGCAATCCGATGCCACAAATAACCATAAGACATAAAGTCTTAAACAATGGACGATCTGCCATCAACACCAAATTATCCATTTCTCCATAAAAAATAAGTAATGACAAAAGACAAGCAATGACGATGTTTCTTACTTTGAAAATATACATTAATTTGTTGCGGGTAATTCTTTTTTTTAGTTTTTAACACTTCCCCTTTTAATCTCGATCAGTTGACAAACAAAAGGCTACATAGAAGAACTTGAATATCTCTTCATGTAACCAAACTTATATTTTGACATTGCACAAGGTCACGTTTTCTCCGACTGTTAATGACGTCTTAATCTAAATCCTTGAGATGTCGGAAAAGTACTGTATCAGGTTGGTGTAGGATTTGGCGCCAGCAAACATGTGACTGTTCCAAGTCAGGAGCCTGTAATTCAGTGGTTGTCGTTTTTTGCTGTGTATCATATTTGTATTTCGTTTATTGTTTTGTACATATAAACTAATGCCGTTTCTTTTCTCGTTTGAATTGTTCTACATTTTTCCTTTCGGGGCCTTTTATAGCTTACTATGCGGTATGGGTTTTGCTCATTGTTGAAGGTCGTGTGGTGACTTAAAGTTTATAACTTCTACGTTATTTTATCTCTGGTGGAGCATTGTCTCATTGTCAATCATACATCTTCTTATTTTTATATTATATTACACACATATTTAAATGCATTAACCATTGGTGAAGGAATTTTTTTACAATAATATTGGCATCCTTTTACCATAAACATTTTGAATTGGTTGGTTATTGAAACTTAATGATAGAGTTCAAATGTAAAGTATATTTTGAGGCAATAATAAAATTTTCCATTTATTTAAATGCATTGCAATAGGTGAAGTTATTTCCTATTACAATAGTATTGGCTTCCTTTTACATAAACAATTTGAATTGGTTGGTTATTGAAACTTAATGATGAAGGTTCAAATGTAAAGTATATTTTGAGGCAATAATAAAGTGTTTCGTTTGTTTTCCGTACAGTTTTTACTGGCATTGCACAAGATCTCAGATGTTTCATTGTTTAGTGCGTTGGGTGTTTACGATAGGTCTTTGATTGTTTCTGGTAAAGTTATTTACACTTTGACTGACTCGGGACAATTTAGAACTTGACATACTGTAAAGATACCGGTCTATAGTTGAAATCTGCATATTGCCCTCTAGATGTCCTTTGATTGTTTTTGTTGTTGGGTTACCATGTCAATGACGCGTTAACCCCAGATCTTATTTTATTTATTATTATTATTATTATTTTTATGTAGGTATAAATTACTTACAAAATTTGAAATTAACTTTATTTATTGTAATGAGACTAATGTACATATACAAGGTCAAACAATCAAACTAAGTACATGTGATTGATCCTAACACCATTAAACAAGTACATTAATTACATATGTTTGATCGTCACACCATTATCCAAATGAATTAATTACATATGTTTGATCGTTACACCATCATACAAATATACTATTTACATGTGTTTGATCGCAACACCATTTTAAAAATATACTAATTACATGTGTTTGATCGCAACACCACTATACACATGTACTAGTTACATGTTTTTGATCGTAACAACACTGTACGTATACAAATGTACGAATTACTTGTGTTTGATCGTAACACCACTGTACGTACACATGTACTTATTACATGTGTTTGATCGTAAACCACTATACAAACGAATGAGTTACATATGCTTCATCATACCAACCACCATAATGAACTAGTTACATGCTTTTTTTTCTCTTTTGCTTGCTCGGTTTGAAAATTGTAGTTCATTAAGAGGGTCATAAGGAGGAAAGTAAAGATACGGAACATTAAAAGAAGCTCAAAATGGATAAAAAAAAAGTTCAGTCTGTTATTTGATACGATATGACTACTAAGATGGCTATGCAATTATATTAATTCTCCATACCGTCCTAATTTTTATACTGTTTTATCTGTTTATGCAGTGATAATATATCCATAAAATATTTGAAGCTGCAAGTTAACCATGCAAAACTGGTGTACATATTTGTTTAGGGGCCAGCTGAAGGACGCCTCCGGGTGCGGAAATTTCTCGCTGCATTGAAGACCCATTGGTGGCCTTCGGCTGTTGTCTGCTCTATGGTCGGGTTGTTGTCTCTTTGACACATTCCCCATTTCCATTCTCAATTTAAAAAAATTAAAACCCAGTATATACTATCCGATGATATTCATTTTAGTGCAGTATTGAATAGGTGAGCAAATTGGAAAAGAGCTAATTTCTGGTTTTGCCTGAATTACATTTTTTTGAACCAGCACATTTGTATAGACTGCACAAGATTTTATGATATTAGATGATTCTCCGTTGTTTTTTTTTTTTCATTACGTTTTGTGAACCAAAGACGAACAAAAAGGTATAATGTAGAAACAAATTACAAGCTGGAATATTCGTGCAAGTGCAATTTTGGTGGCACATATATTTCGTTACAATTTAATCTTAATTGCAAAATTACACCCATAAGGGTCAAGCAATAACAAATAAAATATATACATACAAATAAACAATTAACTTGATACACAAATGTAAGATTAAATTAACTACAGTTACATACATATTATGAACCTGTCTGACATGGGTTTGTCGCCCTCAGTTCTAAAGACTATTTAATGAAGACGTTCTTTATATCGGTCTTGATTTTTTGGAGAAGACGTGTTAATGTTTTTATTATGTTGACGGAATTTTGTTCCTATTTATAACGACAAACTTGGTACATCAACGTGATAATGGTAAAAAAGACTTTATTTATATTAAAAGACAATATACGATGGACACTGTCGATAATTTTATCTTGCGGAAGGATGTTCTGTTATGTACTGGGTTGAATTTGATAAGACTGTCGTACAAGTGAGAGGTTTAGCGCTATAAAACCAGGTTCAATCCACCATTTTCTACATTTGAAAATGCCTGTACCAAGTCAGGAATATGACAGTTGTTGTCCATTCGTTTGATGTGTTTTGTCATTTGATTTTGCCATGTGATTAGGGACTTTCCGATTGAATTTTCCTCAGAGTTCAGTATTTTTGTGATTTTACTTTTTGATAGCGAAAATGTACCATTTTGATTGTTCATCATGATTTAATATATTTGTTTAAATATTATTATTCTTCTCATTTTAGTTACTTAAGACTTTTAAAACATTTCTAAGCAAGCAGTCAGATTGCTTTTTTTCCCATCAACCATATACTAGAGCTCATTAATTATTTTTGTCTCACTATGAATATTGGTATCACTGATACTCAATTCCTAATTAAAGACTGCTAATTCGGAGTTGTAATGGTCATATATCAGACTCTGTTCAAGATAGGAATTCTTTACTTTTGTACTTGATCAATATTTATTTATTTATTTATTTATTGATAGCCGATTACTGATTTCAAGGGGCAATCTGTCGCGTTTGAATATATTGGATCAATTCCGTTCTGAAATTACAACCGACCGATTTAAAAGAGACCCAAAACAGATTGACTACTGTTGGCTAAATGTTCAGCAGCAAATACTTCACATATTCAAAGAAGCTAGATATCAACAGATAAACGACATTGTGGTAACCTTTTTTCTACAGAAAAGTAAAACAGTTGTTGGTTCTGAGGTTTCTAAACTAGTTTAATTAGAGACTCTAAAGAGCCCGTGTCGCTCACCTGTTCCTTCAACAATGGCCACTTTTTTGGTAAAAAAAAACATCATGAAAGGGCAATAACCGTATAAAGAGTTAGCTGACAATTTTAGTGATGTTGACGTATTTGTAGATCTTGTCCTGCTGATCATTTTTGCTTTTTAAAGTTTATATTTACATTTGTATCTATTATACCTTACAAGATAAAAGGTAAAAACTAAAACAAAATGATAAAAATCTTCTTTAAAGGGCAATAACTCCAATCACGAGTCGACAGAAGTGTTCAGCAATGTTTGACTTATTTGGAAATCTTTTCTTGCTGATGACTTTTCCTAATTTAAGATTCTCTCTATCTTTAATAGTTTACAAAATAATCAGCAAAAACGAAGAAAAAAAAATGGTAACATTTGACGTTTCAGGACAATAACTCCCATAAGAAGTCGTCTGACAGTTTAGAAATAAATGGACAGCAGGGAGATCTCACAATTCTAAACATTTCTGTCCGTCATATTTTCTCTATTCAAAGAGGTTTTCGAGATAATAGAGAAAACTTGCATTTTACCCCTACGTTCTATTTTTAGCCATGTCAGCCATGTTGATTGGAGGGCAGGTTCATTGGACACATTTTTAAAACTAGATACCTTAATGATGATTGTGGCCAAGTTTGGTTAAATGTGGAAGAGATTTTTGTAAAGTTTAACGCCAAGTGATGAGAAAAGCTCACTTGGCCTTTCGACCAGGTGAGCTAAAAAATGGCGATATAATGCCAAACTGTCATTTTCTCATTTGTAACTAAAGGTACCTATTTGAATCATAGTTGCTTACTTCCTGATGCACAGTAAAACAATTTCACAACGAGGTCAAACGGAAAAGAACGATTATAGAATATACTTCTGAAAAAGTGATCAAAACAACTATAATGATAATAACTCGTTGGACATGGTATACTTTAAAATAATTTTCTTTTTTTAATTTTTTTTAGGATTAAAATTGTAATTTTTTTAGTCTTGTTAATATATATCTATATATGCGATATTTACATGCATTCAAAATGTAATTAAAACTTTCCAGTTACGAAATTCGACATGGCTTTTGGTGCTTCAGTATCGAAGCCGACAACATCCATCATGAACGGGTCGTTGGGATCTGCGATGGAGAAGCCATTACTGACCATACCAACTACAATCAGCCGAGCATCATGTATCTTCGCGTATTCTCTGTATTGTTTTAGAGCCTCAGATGGATGCATTTTTCCATGATAAGTTTCGGAGTCGGTATAAACAATGAAGACGTCAAATTTCTTTTTGTGGTCAATAGCATATAACATTGGCATTGAACAGTCAGTGCCCGAAAACGGAAGATTACTGCATTTCTTCAGAACCGTTTTAAGAGTGTCTCCTCTATAGATATCGAGTTTTGTGTAACCCTTTGAGAATGCGATGACCTCAAAATTTTCCTCTGTTCTTGCAGTCAACAACATCATGGCTGCTGATGCTTCGAACGCCTCGATCTCGGACGACCCAATTACAGGTGTTTGCATTGATCCACTGACGTCTACTGCAAGAAGGTAGCGTTTTCCTGTCGGAGGAACAAACTTAAACGCTTTGTAGAAAGCCTCCTCTAAAGCTTTTGTTATATTGTCATTCACGCTCCACGAAAGTTTGCCCTTACTACCCCGTCCTGCTTTGTACTGATTCCACGCAACAAGAAGAGAGAACGGATGAATTCTAGCGGACTTCAGCAATTCTTCATTTCCAAGTTTGCTCACTACTAGTGTTTCTCCGACGGATCCAGAATCTAACAGTCCTAAGGTAGACATCTTGCCAAGATTCCGAATCATAGCCATCATTGGCATTAAACGAAGGAGAGTGTCCCATACTTCTTTCGAGTCCAGTAGTCCTGTTGGAACATGTTCACGGACTAACTGGTGTTCAACGATTAAGGCTCGTAATTTGTCGATGTCACTTTTCGTGCATTTCTTTGCTTCTTCGACGGCATCAAGAAAAGCTTTCACATCTACAACAGACTTATCTTCAGAGTACAAACTATTTGCACTTGCCATATCCTTCACTACATACTTTAAAATCATGTCAATTTTACTATCTTCCGGTTTGATGTGTGCTAAGCGGACAACATCCCGATGACTCCAAGAATGACGATTCTGGTACTTTGTTACAAGGTATGCCAACTTTTTGGGGTCTTTTGAAAAATCATTATACCATTTACCGATAGCCACTCTGTGCGCTCTACCCCACCCCGTCCCTGAACTTTCTTTCTCGCAGTACTTAACAAATTCAAAAAGATGTGTAGGTATCCGACAAACACTGCCAAGAATTTTGTAGGCTGCAGTTTTTGTTTTCGAATCATTACATCTGGAACATATGGCCAAAGCATACAATGTTGGCCCCTGTTTACACGCTCGCCCTTGGGTGCTCACTGTATAAATTAATTCGACCACCTCGGTTCCCCTTCCATTCATTATCAGTCTGAAAATAAATTGTATCATATGTATGCAATAATATTAACGATTATCATGATTATTGAAGGATATATCTTTATAACTATTTCAATATGAATAAGGTTTTAATTACCCTTCTAATTTTACAAATTACCCCGTATATTCAAGTTAAATAAAATCATACTCCTTTTAGTAAAATTTCAAATAGCACTTTTATTTGACTGTCTAAAAAGAAGAAAGAAATGATGATTTGACAAAGGTTTATCAAATTGAGGAACACACTGGAGAATTATGATTTATTTACTTATTTATTTTTATTATTGTTAAGACCGCTTTAGAAGGATTAATATTTCATTTAAATACAAATAGAATAAATAAGTATGTCAGATTCATTCTCATCTTTTATAGTCCGAGATTTAGAGTTTGTCATATTGTATGGGAACTTCACTTATATACTGATGAACTCAGAATGTTGACCTCTAGATGGGACTACTTTGTTTTTTGTATCAGAGGGTTGTCAGGTTGCATCATTCTTGACGTTTACCCAAATCTAACATTTCGCAAAAAAGGGATAAATTGGTTCATATTAAGTAATGTCAAGTTTAATCATGATCTAGACCCTTATTTTAACTCATATAAGAAATATTACATATTCTTAAACCTTAACAAAATTTTATCTTTCTGTTATACCTAATTACTAAATGCCTAGGCTAGTTCACCATTGATAAAAATTCACAAATATTTTAAATTAGTAAAACACTATTATCATTTATGAATCATTTATACTGTTCGCTGAAATGGAGGGCAAGCTGAAAGGGATTTTTTTTATCTTGATTTCAGTCGGATACCAACATCGGCCACTGTTATTCAAAGTATATTCTAAACATTGTATAGAGTGAAGAAAGAAAAAAAAGCAGGACCTTTTTCTCGTAAAATTTCAATTTGCCTTCAATCCCATGCAGTTTATACTATAAATCATGTAATCAAATATTTGTACTTGATATTGAGTTCTTTAAACTATTGCATCTGGAGAGTCGAAAAATGACAACATATAACAACAACTTTAGTTTTTGCTAGAGCTTGGTACCTGTCAATACACTGAATATTTTCCCTTTTTAATTCTGGTTCTTTTGCGTAATACGATCCACCTTCAGTGCCCAAACATAGGAATCTTAAAACTCGTGTCAAGTCATTAACATTGTACACAAATCCGCCAGTACTGTTCTGAACTTGATCACAAGTCATTTTTTCGTCCTGAGACTTAAGGTCCCCCCTTGGTTGAATCGATCCGAACTCTTCATTATCAATTTGCATTGTCGAATGTTTAATTGAATCCATGTTTGCAATAGTGTTGTCGTTTGTGCTTAATATCAATAATTATTTATGACGTCACTTTTAGTATTAATAGTCGAGGGACTTTTCACCGGAAATGTTTCTTGAAAGGCGAAATCGCAGTTAAAGTATATTATGATTTTTTAAATTTATTTTTGAAATGAGAATTTCCTTTACATTTTTTGTAATGATAATTTCCTTAATATTTTTGTCTTAATTTTTCACACATATATTTTGTAGAATACAATTCAACAATAATTCTATTTTTAGACATCGGATTACCTTGCTTTTTATAAGATATCTAATTTTAGTCATTGGAGTACCTTACTATTTATGTCGATTCGAATGGAATGTCTCAAAATGTTTAAAAAAAGAAGAGTTTTTGGTTTATTTGGTGTGTAATTTTATCAGTAGATCATTTAATTTCTGTCAGATATCATTATCTGTTGTGTACTGATGCATATCAAAGAATAAACATACTAGTAATTTGCATATATACTAACTAATGTAATATTACTTTAACATACGAGGTAAAACATTTACATGTTTTATGTGTGTAATATCATGGTAATGTTTGCTATATTTTGCACTGATGATTTGTTCACATATTCTTATTTTTTAGTTTCCGTAGACAAAAATAATATCAAGAAGCGCAACAGTGTGAAAGTTGTAAAAGGTAAAATTTCATTGATGGAGGGAAGGTATTTTTTTTTGTCCAATGTAAAACTAGACCAAGATATCTGTGAATTCAAGTACCATTTACAATATCGCAGCATCGAGTCTGCACTTTGGGGTTCTAACTATATATTTCGGATCATATCCAAATTAATAATGGTTGAAATTGTTAAAAAAGATTTTTGAAGATGGAAAAAAATAAAAAATAACAATGAAATAAGTAGAGTAACGTGGCATACCTAAACCAAACTTCTATCGGAAGTAAAATGGCGTTCTTAAAAATTGGAAATAAAGAATGTTGTGTTGTTTATATACATCTTTCCAAATACGTTTAATGGTTTTTATGTTTTACAGTAAAGGGACCACCATTTGATTTGGGGGGTCGGGAGGAGGGGGTAATTATATAGCACAAGACAATGTAAGTAAACATTCCCACAAAACACAGGAAATCAAACGAATTTCCACGCGAAAGAAATTAGCAAGCCTAGCTACAGGTTGAAATGAATATTCTGTCTGCAAAAAATCCAATGGTCTTCCCCTTAAATATCCAAGTTAAGATCCAATTAACATTATGAATATTATATTTTCGAAAGCTTTAAAATATGTATTACAAAATTACTTTTTTTTGTCATTTCGCTTTAATTTGCAATACCTGGACGCTTGATTTCTTACTGAAAGTTTTCAATATATTTAATAATCTGCCAAAAGATGTGTTCTAGTATTCTAGACCATCTCCCTTCGGCGTCCATCCGTTGTATGCGCCGAAATGGTTTGCATATCTAACTGTTAAATTTATCCTTGTATATGTATCATTGATATCTCTTCCCGGATCTCAAACCGTTTATTTTTTCATTTTGTTATGTATATCATTGCAAAAAGTTTATTTTATCTTAATTTCACATGTACTTGCATGTCTGTGAAAAATATTAAAATACGTTAGATACATTCACTAGTTAATTAACGGTATATATAGATATAAGAAGATGTGGTATGAGTGCCAATGAGACAACTCTCCATCCAAGTCAAAATTTATAAAAGTAAACCATTATAGGTCACAGTACGGTCTTCAACACGGAGCCTTGGCTCACACCGAACAGTAAGCTATAAAGGGCCCCAAAAAATTACTAGTGTAAAACCATTCAAACGGGAAAATAACGGTCTAATCTATATAAAAAAACGAGAAACGAGAAACACTTATGAACCACATCAACAAACGACAACTACTTCAAACATCAGATTCCTGACTCACCCTGATATCAGTTACGTGTATCATAAATTTGTATATGTACATTAAACTCAACTCTGTTTTTTATTTCACTTGTTTTAAATTTAAAAAACACAGTTTTAAATCATTTTTTGAAGTTTTGCATATTTGGTTTACCCCTTCTGGTCCGGGTACACAGTTATCGTCCTTTGATTTTGTCCACGAATATAGTCCCTAGTGTGGACAGTGTGTTACTTGTCGATTTTTTTTATACCCCTTCCAAATTTATTTTTCCATGTTTTATGACTCAAATAGTAAGTAGGGTGGTGAAATGACACTGTAAAAAAATTTGGGTCATGAATTTTAAAGTAAAGTAGTGATTTGGTCCAGCTGAAAAATGTTAAAAATTAGCACTTCGGAAGCTGTCAAAAGATTTGAAGACCCCCTTAACATGAAATTGTCCATATTTTGAGTTAGAGCCGATGAAGTTTTCTATAATTTTGATATAATTTGTCCCAAAAGTAGTACAACACACTGTAAAAATATTATTGAGAAAGCGCAGGTGGGATTTTTTTAATTTTCATTTATTGTCTAAAAGAAATGCACTACGAAATAACTGTGTACTCGGACCTTTCTGACAACAACATGTACATGTATGACATGTATTGTGTCAAATCATTCAAATGCCCCCTCCCCCAACATTTTTTTTTAAATAAACAAACGAATAATGATTACAAAGGTACCCTCTCCCCCTTTTAAAAATATTTCATTAAAGTGATTTGTTTATTCTGTAACAGTGTTACAGGTCTGATAATATCTGATAATGAACATCATGGTGTACATCATTTGTACTTGGATATGAAATCCAGAACCTGTCATTCAATTAAAAAGATAAACTGCTACCCACCTAACAAAACTGATGCTATCTTTAAGAGTTGTGGAAATAGACATTTTCTGGCTTATTTAAATGCCCCTTCCCATATTCAAAAGGATATTATTTGTTGTGCAGAATGATTTACAACTGCTTGATTAAAATTTTATTAGATTTGTATCATGACCACTCACATGACATTTTTTCATGACTAAATACTAAAAACCAACTCCCCATATAAATACTATCAACTATTAATAAATGTTATAATAATTACTTATTGTATTTACTGATTGAAGATCATGAATCATCCTGATCTTTTAACAAAAATGAAAACTTGTATCTTATATGTTGTGTACTGATCATGATGTACATGTAAATTATGTTCACCATTTGATGTCTTATTTTTTAGGTATTTCTAACCAGTGTTACCCAAATAGTACTGAATAAGGTAAGTGATATTTTTAAATTAATAAATAATTAATGGATTATAACAAAGATGGTCACTTTTTCAGCAATTCAGGTGTATACAGTGAAATTGTTTCATTAAAACATCATATACATTTATCTTGGTATTTAAAAAAATCACTGGTTTATATATGTATGTTTCAATGAACATCAAAGCATGTTAGGAGTTTTGTAATGCAAAATATTGTATGTTACCCACCTTTGGATTTCAAGCATCACTTGATTTTCTCAACATAAACATTAAAGGAGATTCCATGTATATGATATGTATGAGATTGAGATGAGTTATTAAAGCAAATTTTTTATTAGAATAATTTTGAAAGACTATTTTTATTTTATTATTTTTTTGTCATGACACTAATAACACACACATATATATATCTCAGTAGCATGGGTTCGAATCCCGACAAAGATCTAACATTGTTGGGTTGATGTTTAGACGAGTTATATATATATATATATATATATATCTATATAAATGTAGTTAAGATAACTTTAAAAGATGTTAAGTGCATACATTTTTTTCAACAATTAGACTTATCAAATTCTATTATTCATTTATTCGCTCCACCCTTGAAAAAAATTGAATTTAGCATCTTCACTAGCTAAGGATTACCATCCACTCCACTTTACATTTGATCAAGCTATATTTGTTTTCCCATTCATGATTACTTTCATATATTTTAAATGGGAGTTACATTATGCACTGACTTAAATCTTTTATATTAGGAAATTATTCTGAACTTTTATTTCAGGTTTCACACACATTATGATGGTTCATGTGAGAGGAAGAAGTGATTTGTTGGAGAAAGTTCTTGCTTTTCTTTTATCTACAAAATGAAGTACATTTTCCAGTATATAGAACGTTGAGAAGTTCATTGAACGAAGCTTAAGAACACACAGAACAAGAATTAAAAGAATACATTCTTATATAGATATAAAGCAAAGCAAATATTATAAAATAAAATATATGGAGCTGAGAGTTTACTTGTCTGATATTCTAATATATATATACAATGTAAAAAGTACAAAGATTTTTGCTCACATTGTTTTGAAAATATATCAAAATATTAACTTTAAAAATGAATGATAAATCTTTTGAGAAGACATAGTTTCATTTCTTTTTTCTTCTTGGTTTGAATAGTCTTTTGTACATGTACATGTATACTGCAATGGGTTTTTAGAAAAGTCAATTATAATACCAGCTGTTAGCTATAGTTAATGAACTTGCCTGTCCCTTACCTCACCAAATAATTGACCCAAAGGGTCTATTGTCACCACTTGGCATTTGCTGTTATTTCAACAGTCTATATACATGTATGAAAGAAAGGAGATGTGGGGTGTAATGTATTAGTCAATGAGACAGCAAACAAACAACACAAGCACATCTATTATGGAACAACCAAGCCAATTGAGAAAGGCAATGGTTTGAATAGATTAGTGGTACGTGTATTTGGTTAAATACAAAAAAATGTGGCTCCTTTTTTAACAACTTTGTTCCCAACAACCTTAATACTGATAACTCATCAGTTTTACAAGGTATCAAGAACATGAAAAAGGTATGAAGAAAAGGAAAGAGATAATCCTTACAACTGAAGTATATACTAAGGAGACAGCAACTCAACAACACAAATATGTCACAATTATTTTAAATACCATACAGTTATCAGACCGCTAATGTCAAAGCAAGAAAACTGAAATATCTTTATTTTAGTCAGAATATTTCACTCAATTTGATCAATAGAACTTTCAATTTTTTAAGAATATAATGAAACCAAACAAATAATGATATTGTCATATAAATTTAAGTCGAAAAATGGATTTTCCCAAAATCATGTCATGCCTGAAAG